GTGTAAATGTCGTCTGGACTCTGTGCAGAAGCTGCATGCCATCAGAAACACTGTAAAATGCAAGTGTTCCTGCTGCATAATCCAGGTAGATGCCGATACGAGATGAGATCGGAACTGCAAGATCTTTGCTCTTATTTTCGTGCACAAAAGAGAATTTGGAGTCAGAGCAGTAGAGGCTCCAGGACTTGTCGTTCCAGCCCAGGCTGCAGTCGTTGCTGTTTCCTTTACGGCGGATTCCCCTGTACGTAACGGCCATGTCGACCTCTGTTCCCCTCCACTCCACCTCCCAGTAACAGCGACCAGTCAGGCTCTCCCTGCACAACACCTGCAATCGGATGGATGAAGTGAGAGATTAAAAGGCAAACCTGCTCGGCTTCAGGAGGGCGATTCAAAGACCAATTAATGTCTCCTTGAGAATATAGTCAACTCCCCTCAACTGTTTTCAAGAACAAAAATGACATCAAGGGGGGCAATAAATGCTCACCTGCTGCCAGTGGTCAAATCGATCTGGGTGGTCAGGGTAGTTCTTGGGCTCATTCTTCATCGTAGCTGTTCGGTTCCCCTCCGAGAGGTGAAGGTTGCGATGGACACTGTTGACATCCATGATCACCTGGCGAGAGTCTACAACATGCAGGACAAAGGTCATTAGAAATGGTCTTTGGAGTGTCACAAATTCTTGTGTTTTGCATTGTGTTGCACGTAAACCACCTACATTCACTAAAATACCTGGGACACCATTATGTTTAGGAATGTCAAAATTAGGTCAGTAAAACGTTTGATAAATAACTCAAAATAACTTCAACATAACTCACGTGTCACCTGGTTAAAATACTTTCCGCAGGTGACGTGTCAGCAGGGAACACCTGCGTTTGTTAAGTGATACTAGTGATACTGGACAGTAGAGTTTGGTTTCCTACATTTCACCAAACCAGTTCAGCAAGCAGCAAACCTTTTGTCAACACTCGGTTCAGTTGTTTCATCACATGGTTTGGTCATGCTTTCGTTAGACATTGAGACGTTCCAGCTGTACGTCACAATGACTTTCATTTAGTTAAACCTGGAACATGAGGGGTGTTCGATACGACTTCCAAGGAATTAACCTAACTTACATTTCAGGAAATCTTGTCTGGTTTTTGGTTCTTCTCGCGTCCTCGGTTCCTCTCTTGTCTTCGGTTCCTCTCTTGTCTTCGGTTCGTCCCTAAATGAGGATTCTCTCCTTGTCTCACCTTCTTGCGTGATGTAGACATCCTTCACTAGAAAGACGTAGACAAAAAAAAACACTAAAGCTTAAACAGCAGACTAAAACAACAACTCCCTCCTGAATGGAACAAAGTTGTCGGTGCTCCTTTAGATGAAGAAAGACAAACATGTTCACCTGATCCTGTGACTTTGGTCATTTCTGTTTTAGTGACTTCCTCCACCTGTAATTTCAGTGCAGCGATGGCTCTCTTAGTGCCATCAAACGAGTAATTGGGAGCAACACTGATGTTGTTGAGGTCTTCATATCCTGAGGGTCCTGACAGAGACTGCCAGCTCTGGTAAAAAGAAGAGGTGGAAGATAGAGATGAGCCTAAATGCTGCTATTACTGTTAACAACACAGGGCCCTGTGTTCAGTACAAGCTCACCTGCAGGAAGTGTATGTGATCATCTGTGTTTGAGAGCTTATCCAGGTCTGTGTGCTTCTTCCTCAGCAGAGTGATCTCTTCCTCCAGGCGGCTCAACACTATCTCGGCCCGTGTCACGGTGGTCTTTTCGTGGGAGCGGATCATCTCCTTGACTTCATTGTACTTCCTCTCAATGGCAAGTAGAAGCTCGGAGAAGATACGCTCGTTCTCCTCGAGAGCCGTCTGAGCCGAGTGCTGATGAGATACATCAGAAAGAGAAGGAGATCAACTTTCGCCAAACGTTAATTTTACCCACCGCAATGTTTTGTTTCTGGCGTCATGACATCTTTAGAGTAGTGAACATTTTTAGAATCAGAAGCAATATATTGCCAAGTGTGTTTCACATACAGGAATTTGTCTTGGTGCTTGTTTTCGTACTCACTTTAACTGATTCAACAGCTTGTTGTAGGTTCTGCCATTTTTTAACTCTCTGGTCAATCCTATATTGAGATTTGTACAGCGTGGGGCCAAGTTGTTTCTGCAAAGTTAATGGCAATTGAAGTGTTAATGCCAGCTTTGTGTAATAAATAACCTTTCAAATCATTCACTCAGTATTTTCACACCAAAAGTATTGATTAACAGATTGTTTTCACCACTCACTTGCTTCTCGGTCCTCTCAGTTCCAGCCGGGACAATGTCGTGGTGTTTGTGTTCATCCATCATGCACAAAACACACACCAGGGTCTCATCCGAGCGACAATAAGCCTCCAGCAACTTGTCATGCTGGGCGCAGAGCTTCTCCCTCATCTGACCCGTAGCGTTGACCAGCTTGTGCTTCATCAAGGCAGGGTAGTCGTAGTGAGACTGGACATGCGTCTCGCAGTAAGACGCCAGGCACACCAGGCAGGACTTCTCTGCCTTCTGCTTTCTCGTTGTGCAGAAGTCACACATCACTTCCCCGTTCTTGGCCTGGGACCTGGGCTGGCTACGACTGGTGGAGCGTCGGGATTTCTCCGTGCTGCTGTATCTGTCCAAATCGAGAGTGCTAGGGTGGGACATGTTTTCAAATCGACGTCCAACAGATACGAGAGAAAAATCTAAATCCACAGGTGATTTATCTCAGCGGCGGTTCTTTAACCTCTGGAGTGAAAAGGTGTCGCTGAAGTTAGCAGCTACAGTGAAACCCTGCGACTGACGCCGTGTGTGACAGAATGATTGCTATGTAGTCGACTTTCCTTGTAGAACCGGTTTTCTGGGTTGGGCATTTAATGACAGGTAATGGGTGTTGCTACGAAGGTGCTGCCTGCCAAATAGTGGAGACAAAGTAGAGTAAATGTTGAAAATACAAAATCCAACAAGGAGCCGTTATATAATGTCAAACCTAAAAGTGTAAGTTTTAATCTTTGTCTGTTATTTGGAGATAAACAAACAACCTTTACAGAGTGCAACATTATTTTGTAAGCGTGTTAATAGAACCTGTCATATGGCCTACAAAACTGTTAAGAATGACCTCCAGTTGAGTTTGTATGTTTCAAGATTACATTTGTTGTCTGATGTTCTGCACTTATAAACAGGCCATTCATCAAACAACGATTAACAGCATCATCTTGTGGGACTAATTAATGACTACGTGGAATAATAGCATCTAAATCAGGGTTTGTCAATGTTTTTAACATGAAGTGGCTTTTTTAATGTTTCCACAAAAACTTCCATTGCTGAAGCTACTGCTTGGTGGCAAACTTCATCCAGATTAGTTTGACTATCCCACTATATTGTGCACAAACATTCAGATTTTTTCAAACTATAAAATCAGCATGAGCTTTGTCATCCATCTTCCAAGACCCATTGAATTTCTTCAATGAAAGCCGCTCCCATGGCATGAAGAGGATTTTATACTTTGATTGTTAGGATCCTATTATTGTGGCAAATATTAGTTATAAGTTGTGATGGACTAAATTACTTTTTCACAAGTTTTTGTTGAGCTCAAATGGACAAATGGAAATGCATCGAAAGTAAAAGTACTTATCACGAAAAATAGTTTGACGCAAAACTAAAAGCTGCAACATTGTAACGGCGACGTACACGTGAATATGCCCCATTATCATATGAGCCATTCTGCATGATGCCCACTTTTAAAAACACGTCGGTGACAATACGTTTAACTACATAACGTTAGCAAAACCACGCCAATACAAGCGTGCGTCGGTGCGAGCTGCTGTTCATCCCCGAGGCGGCGGGGGGCGCTGGTGGTCTCCGTGCTCTGTTGAAATGACAATAGCCGCTTTAGCTAAATTGCGTCGGTCGTCCAACGTTGGCGCCAGATGAGCTGTGGCGCCAGCAAACACACACAGGCGGAGAGAGGAAGACGCACACAGCAGTTTGACGAGCCTCACAGCAGCCTTTGCAAAAAGCCTTTCTCAGCCAGAGTTTCGAAGCATCTTCGTTCTCTTTTTTTTTTGTTTCTCTCTCTTCGGCAATCAAAACGCAAAAGTACAGCAGGTGGGTGTGCATGCAAGTACTTATGCAGTTAGTGTCTGTGTGACCCATACTCGTGGCGACTACTCATCGTTAGGATTGAACTTTCTATACCATTTAGAAAAATAAAAATAAAAAATCAACGTAATGACAGATGGGATGCTCCGTTTGACAGAACATTCGCGCGTTTATCATTTCGGATGATAGTCGTTCTGTAGGCTGTTTGTTCTGTGTGCCCAGTTACAATACTACCGAACTTTGTAATGGAAAAATACAGGCCATAACTCTCATTGGCGGATGCATTTTGTTCTGGGAGAAAAGCAGACAAGCACTGTGATGCATCGTTACTGGAATCGTGAACTATTTCATCTTTGATGCAGGTTATTTTGAGACTTGTTTGTTGTAGAATCGGCCCCGCCGTATTTGTTCCAATGGGAGTCCTTGGTCTGTCTTGGCAAGCCAAAGATCAACCGTAACATGGTGGGACGGGTGGTCGGGCAACGCTTCCGCAATTCTGTCTTAAAACATCTACAGGCTAACCGTAGTACGAGACGGGAGAGCAGCGTTTAGCCGTGCTAGCAAACTGGATTAGCTGGCTTGTTAGCTTGGAATCATGGCTACGTAGCCAGCACGCTAATATGGTCTTGGCTGGATAGCCGCTAACATCAGCAAGGCCGCCATTGCAGTCGTGTGTGCGGTTTTTCGAGGAGCTGCCGCAGTAGAGGAGGGCTTAGGTCTACATAAACATTTCACTGTGCCGTCTCGAGCGGCCATATAACGTCCTGCCTTGTTGAGTTTTGCCCGATTGCTATTATTTATCCCGTTTTTGCCGTGGGGTTCGTGTCTTGCACGAATTACTATGTGAGTAAAATGCGTCCTTTCCCGGGCTTTTCGCAGAGCATTCATCGTCCGCACGGTTAGCCATCTTTGTTTCAGCTAGCCGACTCCTGCTTGGAATTACGATGTGGCTCTTAGCTTGCTAACCTACTCCCCATTAGCCTACATCGTCTCACTCAATACCACTACGTGTTAATCTATCAATTAATACATTCTCCATATTTACGTGTGTGTGGTTGATCTTGAGCGTTTCGTGTTTTTGGCTAACCGCGAGATCGCTTCGAGGGCAGCTCTAATTCACTATGTTATGAAGGGCGGAAGCTAACTCTGCTAACTAGCCAGCGGCAGCCATCTTAGGCGAGCATGTAATCTTGGCTAGCTGGAAGTGTTGGTGTGGCACAACAAGATGGCCTGTTAATACTCGCAAAGGGAGTATTTCCGCGTCGGGGTTTGTGTGATAAACGGCACTAATTTCCGCACGTAGGTTAATATTTTAATGTAAATATTTTGCTGCACTCACTGTCTGCGCTGTAATTACTCGCATGTTGCTTTTGCTATGAAGCTAGTTAGCTGGCTAAATGGCGAACACATTAGCAGCTAACACAATGCTGTTTTGTCGTTAACCAGTCCTCCTCCGACCATAGCCAGCTAACTAGCGGCTATGCAGGCTATTTGTAGCTGTTATTGTAGGCTAGCAACCAACCGTTCAATGTTGATTACAACTCGATGTGCCTAAATGTCACTAAAATGTTGCCAATTTGTGTTCATTCAAGGCGAACTACGGATACGAGCACAATATGTGGAGGTCGCTTTTAGTTTGGACGGCGGATTAAGGGGCGCTTGATTGTGATGTGGTCCACTTGGATTTTATCAATTAAGCAAAGGAAGAGAAGCTGATTTTAATCGCTAACATGGCTACTAAATTGGTCCCGTAGCTTGCTAAGCCATGTAATTAATATTTACGGGATCCCCCTGTCAATCAGCTTTTGGGATGACCAGACTACCAACTTTTGCTATTTAAATCCACCGGGTGTTTGTGGAGATGGGGCACTAACTGTCTGTTGTAGACGGGGAGGTCTCCTTTTCAAAATGTTCACTATTTAACATATAGCATATGTTATCATGGGAAGATGATATCTTGTAATATTTAATTGCAAATGACTCACTCGACTAGAAAACATTTCCAGGAATAGCTTTGCAATAAGCACCAGTAGGAGACTTGCATGTAAAAACCTTCCTTGCTGTTTATGTAATTGTTTTTTCTTTCATCTCCCGCTTTTACAGGTCTGCTCACTGACCAGATCAACAACGCGGCGCTGACCAAAACAAAGATCCGTCCCCCCGATTCCTTTTTTTGTGTCACCGCCCGGCAGGAAAACGGAGGTCGTGGGGCTGGAGTGTGTTCTCATGGCCGAGTCAGAGACTGAATGTGACACACCCGGCCTTGACACGCTTGGGTCGGAGTGTGTCATAGCCCACAGCCATGTCGACCTTCACTATGGAGCAGAAACGGAGATCATGACGGAGGAAAAGCGTGGTTTAGAACTGGAGATCCACGGCTCAGACTTAAAGATCCAGGGACTGGGGGCAGATCTCGCTGTAGCCTGTGTGGACGCGGTTGTTGAGACAGACCATGATTACATTAAGGTTGAACACGGTGAAATGCACTGCTTCACGGCTGCGGAAATCAAGACCTCAGGAAATGAGACCCTACTGGGAGAGGTGCTGCTCAAGACGGAAAGCGAGCACGTGGTGAAAGTGGAGTCCGACCACGGCGGGGAGTTGACCGTGGAGTCTGAGAATGGCGTAATCATACACGAAGCCCACGGCCTGCAGTGCAACGAGTGTGGGGAGATTTTTGGCAGCATAGCCGATCTTCACCAACACTTTGAGATCCACAAGGACCTCAACCCTTACATCTGTGTCCACTGTGGTGAGAGCTTTGCTGTGGAGGCAAGCCTCAAACAGCACATGAAGATTCACATGAAAGAAAAGCCCTATGTTCCTCCCGGAGTCGAGATTATGGGCAAAGATGTTATTGACGCCTTCAGCCTCAAGTCTCATCAGATGATTCACTTGCCGGACAAGCCGCACAGATGCTCGGAGTGCGGTAAGAGCTTTGCGGCTGCAATCACCCTGAGAGAACACATGAAGATGCATTCAGAAGACAAGCCTTACAAGTGCACCCAGTGTAGGAAGAGCTTTGTCCGCAGAAGGCATCTGAAAAAGCACCAGGAGGTGCACGCACGCGAGAAGCCGTATACCTGTGGCCAGTGTGGCAAAGGCTTCGCCACAACTTCCAACCTGAAGCAGCACCAGAAGACCCACGCTGCAGTCGTGCTTGGGGACAAACCCCATCGATGCGCACAATGTGGAAAGTGTTTCGCGGCCGCGGCCACTCTGAGAGAGCACCAGAGGATCCACTCGGGTGAGAAGCCCTACAAATGCAACATGTGCAGGAAGAGTTTTGTCCGCAAACGCCATCTGAAGAAACATCAGCAGGTCCATGCCGGAGGTAAGCCCTACACCTGCAGACATTGCAACAAGGGCTTCAATCACTCCTCTTCCCTCTCTCGCCACCACAAGACCCATCTGCAGAATCCGGTATTTTCCCCACCTCAGCCTGGGAAGACCTTGTCGTACGGCACTCCGCCTAAGCAGAGGGTGCACCAGCAGGGAGACAAGCCCTACATGTGCCACCACTGTGATAAGGGCTTCAATCATTCCTCTTCCCTGTCACGGCACCAAAGAGTCCACTCAGAGGGGAAGAGTTACACCTGCGCTCACTGTGGCAAAAGATTCAATCACTCCTCGTCCCTCGCCAGGCATCAGAGGGTCCATTTGGAGAATAAACAGCAGCAGCAGCAACAGCAGCAGCCACAGCCACAGCCCCCGCAGCCACCACCGCAGCACTACAGCCCCATGCCCACAGGGAAGGGATTCCCTAACAATGCCTTCCCGAAACAGCGCGGCCTGTCTGTTGAAAAACCATACCGGTGCTCCCAGTGTGGCAAAGGCTTCAACCATTCATCCTCCCTCTCCAGACATCATAGGATCCACGTGGACCAGTGAGCTGCGCTTGCCGCCCTCACGCGCTCTCTCATGCAAGCAAAAAAAAGAAGAAAAATGCCCCCCTCCCTTCCTCCCAGTTTTCTGCTCTAACAATGGTCCCATCATTGACATCACCACGTCACAGGAAACATCAGGCCGACTTTGATAGACGACAGTGGTCGGGTCAGCATAGTGCCACGTTTAAGTGGAACAATTAAGCAAAAGTGGACAGTAACATGGGTCTTCTAAAGGGGGCCGTGTCACCTATAATTCCGAGCTGAATCTGGGACTTGATCAATATAAAGAGGGTATGATTATAGATGGTGATGGAGCTTCTATTCCTGTTTGTGATTGTGCTTCACTCGCTCTAGGACCTCTTGAACACTTTTAATTAAAAAAAAAATGTGATTTGGTGATCTAAAATTGTTACTTAGGTAAAATATGCTTCGCCCGCAGTTAGTCTTTTTGATAAAAGAATTGAGTTTATGTATTCAGGTGGGCACGTGCGCTTTTCAGCTGCAACTATTTCCAAGGCCGACAACCCAATTAATGAACAAGAACTAGTCTCAATTTAAATTTCTTTTCCACTCTAACAGACATGAAGCAAACATAAAAATTTCAATGTAAATATTTGATTTTCTTTTATATATATGTATAGGTGACTAGTGTGCTGTTCAAAAAGATTACATTTTTGATGGTAAGATCCACCCTGTCTCCCTTTTTTTTTCTTTTATGACTTTAATTTGTTTTAAGTGTTGGAGATAAACATGTTGCAGGTGTTCTCATGCAGATTGTTCTTGAGTTTGGGCTCCATCAGACGTGAGCCATCTTGTATATTTATAAGGTTGTTTTCTTCTATGTCTACGATGGGTTAGCAACACTGCTGCATCCACTGTACAGAGAGCAATACTGGCTAACACCCTGATTATATTACCACATGCAATTTAGCCATTAGGAAATGCATAATAGAAAATAAAACCCTACTTGGTAGCTTATTCCAACATGATCTGTGTCCTAATTATTTACTGTGCAGATTCCTCTGTACCCCTTGCACCAAATGTACATGAAATGCAACATCCTGTTTTGTTTATACCGTTGGGAGACTAATTCAATTTACTTATGTATAGACTAAAGGTGACTTACTCGTGGTCAGCGAAATGATCAGTCTGAAAAGGTTGTGTATATTGAGACTAATGAAGTCTCACTATTACAAGGCTTAAACATTTCCCCTGAATTCCAGTGGATGGCCAGCTCTATTTACTGTTTTGTGTAAAATATCTTTTACAAACTGTATTTTTTTAGATATGGCTTGGGTTATATGAAAGGGAATGAGAGCTATACAGTTTTTATGGGAGTGAACATCACAGTGAGCAATATTTTTCTTTTCCTTTTTGTTAACATTTGTGCTTCAGACTGTAGCATAGGTCTCTTCCTTGTGTTAGATAGGTGCCTTATTGCATGCTGTGTAGAAATATATGCCGAGCTGTTAATTGAGACATGTTTTCAGGAGTCTTTTGTTATTCATACCAACTTACCATACGTTTTAATTTGTCACTATCGATTGCTTCTTTTGCTTTCAGCTATATTATTACAATGTGTTTACACTGTTACGCCCATAATTGTCTTTATTTTTTCCCCTTCATTTTTTTGTCAATGGCCTCATTGTAGAGAGAACATTTGTAAATTATCCATATAGCCTTCTCTTAAGGGCAAATCCTGTAACACCTCTTCCCAATCTTTGACTGGCACAAATATGGATAAATAAAGGTTGTTGACTCATGTGGCGTTTGATCAATGGAGTATGTTTTGGAAATGGGAAATCCATCAGCTCCCACAGCTAAATGTATTCTATAATTATATTGACATACCATCCACCATTTGAGATTTATTTTAAAGACCCAGCAAAGAAATAATGAATGCACTTCCTAAATGTGTCCACATGGTGTCACTCTACCATTTACAATGTTTTAAGGACCAACACCGGTCCCATTAATTCAATGGGGGGATTCCAGATGTTGTTTTGTCACTTATGCTCTCGAGTGTTTTATGTCACGTTTTATAGGACCGTAGGACTCAATCAGGAATGTCATCGTAAAGGTGTAATTTGATCTTTGTGGGGAAAGCTCTCGTGGACGGCCTGCTGAAACTACACACCTTCCCGCCCATCACTTACTGCTCTGGTTTACATTCCTTCACATCTTCAGACTGCTGAGGTACGACAATACCACGTTAGAGATTCGCCATCACTAACCTTCAGAAAAGCTTCTCAGTCGTCTGGATGCAGAAATATGTCGTTTACATACTGATATTTTTTCTATTTTTCTTTCTAAATATACAAATATATTTACTTTAAAGAAACTGGCAATTAAATGAGGTAAAAAAAAAGTAAATCTAAAGTCGGTAAAAACATTTGCAACGTCAACAATTTGATTAAAGTATGATTGGTTCCCCAACAAGGTTGCTTTCTTATATTAAATCTCCAGTGGAGATCAAACACTGGAATTGTAAAAAAAGACAAATTGTGCATGATTCAGAAGTTATAGTGAAAAGTAAATTCATTTGTTGAAGGCGAATCAATTCGCAAATGTTGAACTCTAATGGCCTCTATGCAAACATACTCTACATTGTTTTTACTTTGTTGAAAGTACTCCTAGGAGTAGAAGTAGTAGAAGTAGAAGAGTAGTCTTCTAGAGGGAGCAATAATATAACAGAAAAGAAAACCTGAGTTGATGTTTACCATTTTATTTGTGATAATTGCTTTATGACAAGAAAATAAAGGGAACCTCTAGGAGAGACACTATTGCTGCTGTGAACATTTATACTAATGAGGCACGTAGACGGGAAACTGAACAAAGACAAAAGAAATCACAAAAAAATGCTGCAATACACCATACATTTAACAACACATACGCAAAGAAGTCACGAATGGATGAATCCTAGTCTACATTACATTTCATATTATTTACAAAAAGAAATACATATATACTGTACATCTGTACACAGAGCACTGGTTTAAAAAGGCATCAATACTCAGACGAGGAGGTGGAAACCTCCCTTATAGGATATGTTTCTGTCCTTTTGGACGCATTGAACTGGAGGGTCCAGGCCACGGTTTCGGGCCTTTTCACGTTGAGTTCCGTGCAGGAATCAGTTCGCGGGGCATTCGAGGCTTCGACAGCCCGCTATACGTTCATCACGGGAGTGAGCTGCAGCAACGAGCTCTGCGGCCGGATGGCGCTGCTCTTCGAATGCAGTTTCTCCAGGTTTTGTAAGAAGCTTCTCCTCTTGAGACCCTCCAGAATGACAGTGTTACTGGAGGCCAGACTGACACGGGTCCTGTGGGGGGGTGGAGGCATTAGGCTGATATATTTTATAAATATGCCATTTGAATTAGGTGACGTGTTCATGCATCCCATCTGTCCACGCACATTTCAGGGGAGGAGGGCACAGCGAGTTCAGTGTCAGAAAAATACTTTTTTTCTTCCTCTTTGATTGTAATTTAAGTGCTGCACAGCAATTACGAATAATTATCAAAATGACTCCCTCCTGTCCAAATACTGCATGCTGTGATTGGTCACAAGGTGTTTGTTCAGCTTACTTTAAAAAGGAAAAAACACATTGGGAGTAAGTCCAATCACAGACATGTAACCCAGAGGTTAACTAACCTCAGTACAGTGTTTATTTTGCCTGTCTCTAAAGCTCCTCCAAAATGTTACAGGATTGAGTCTGGTATGGGCTCAGGGATTAGACATGGGCTTAAAGTGTGAATACTGATAAAAAGACACTGGCCTGAAGAGAACGTGGATCTGGGCTGCATGATTAGGAACTTTTTTTGGAAATGGAAACACAACGTCATAGTACTCACCGTGGAGAATCTATGCCACTGTCCCCTGTGACGCTCCGGTTCTCTCCTGCTTCCACCACCTCCCTCATCTCTGCCCGTCTGGCTCCACTGGGCGTGCTCAGAACACCCCTTTGAGGCTGAGGAACGCCCGTCTCATCGAGCTCATCCGCCCGCGCCACCTCCGCCTCGGCTGCCCAGTGAGCGGATTCGCCGTCGCCCTCGTCGCCCGATTTACGGACGGTCTCCGTGTCGGAATCTATCTCACTGGTCTGGCAGTAGTCAAAGATGCTTCCGTCTGCGGCGTCCGGTGGTTCGGGACGATCCGCATCGAGGTTGACCTCACGCCGTCTCTCCGCCTGGATGGATGTGGCTCGCCTGGAGCTGGATTCACCTTTGGCCCCTGGCGATCTGTCTCTCTGACGGCGCTGATGGAGTCTCCAGCCGGTCTCTCTCGGGCCGGTGGGGCTGAGGGAAGCGTCCCTCTGGATGGGTGAGGTGGTGATATCCGTGAAAGCGCCGTCCCTAGAATCTTCTATCGAAGCAACTAGCGGCTGCTGAGAGTTGGAATCATTATAGTGACGGCGGGGCCCCGGATATTGCACATCCGATCCGTGGTCATGGTAACCGGAGCGGTGGCCATGGTAGTCCGCTACACCTTTACAGTACGCCTTTGAAGCGTCGGTGATGTCTTCCTCATTCAGACACAAGGAGCTGCAGGCATCCTCATCCTCCTGCTCCTCCGCTCTCTGATAAAGCCTACAGTCGTCCTCTATAAAGCCGTCAGTGTCTGTTATTGAGGGAGGGCTGTCAGCCATCAGTCCCGGCCTTTCTCCCCGGCTCATGGTCCTTTGCTCGATGCTAATATTAGTAACAGGTCGTATGTCCCGTTGTTCCTGGGTGGCTGTATTTTCACAGGCCTGCTGGTGTGACGAGAGCTCTGGTCCCCAAGTATCATCCCGTTGAGGCTTGGAGGTTCTAAGGGAGTGTCTCCGCAGTAAAGGGGGCTTGTGCCAGGACGGGGATGGGTCATAAGAGGGGTTTATGACCGGCTCATAGGAAGGTGTAGGGAGAATTGTTGAGTATTGTTGGACATTAGAGAGTCTGTCACCCACGGCTTGGCTGTGGTCCGGTACCCCGTTGTATTCTGCATCCTGAAAATGCTCATTCGCGTCTCTCTCACAGCTGCCGTTTCCCTCCCTCTGTTGTCGGGTCTTGTCGTCGATCCGAAGCGTACTGCTCTGTGGGTATGCTGAGCTGTAGTCCGGGGGCAGCTCGTTTTGGATCTTCGTGTCTGCTTGGAGCAAATGATCTGCCGTGGGCTCCCTGGTATGGACACAGCTGTACCTGTCCTCAGATGTGGGAGATTTCCCTGTATGCTCTGCTGTTGCAATCACTTTGGACCGATTGGGGTCCCACGATTTTGACCGGTGAGACGTTCGATCCATCTTCCCCGGCCCCAAAACCTTTCCCCCCCCTTTCACCTCTTGCCTTCTGTGCTCTTTGTTGATGGTGGCAGGAATAACGGGCTCAGCTTCTTTGATCGGCTGAGTCTGGAAAGGGTTTTCAATGCGTTTCTTATAAAGAGATTTATAACCTGCTCCACCTTCTTCCACTTGGTCTTGTTCATCAACGCGGATTTCCACTCTGAGCCGAGACGGGATCAAATCCTCCCCCTGTGGATAATCATCCGCACTTATTGGAACCTTACTCTTAACCCTCTCCCTCTGCTTCTCTCTGGAGGAATGGGCCCTCCTTTTGCTGCGAGAGGCCTTCTGAGCAGATCTTCTCCCTGCCTTAGAGGAGTGATGATGCCTGGGTTTTGCCGGGATGTCAGTAGACATTCCCTTGTCTACCCCCTTATCGTCTTTGTCCAAGCATCTGTCCAAGACTCTGTCCGTCCCTCTTTCCCTTCTCTCCTCCAGCTTCTTCATTAAGACCGTGTGACGGGTCAAGTTGTCCACGGTCAGCTCAGGGTTGATGCGTTTGATGATGGCGTGCTCCAGGTCGCGGGGTAAGTTGTTCAGGTCCTCCTCGTCTCTTACTGGCCACTCCTCCGGTGGAAACTGGGCTGAAAATGATGTGTACTCCTTCTTTGGTTTCTCTTTCTTACCTCCGTTCCTTCGGAACAAGCTGAGACCAAACTTCCTCCCCGGTTTGTTGTCTTTTTCCTTGCGGCCAGTGGCGTTAGTAGTCGCTGTTGCTTTGCTGATATCGCTTGCGTGGCAATCTGCAGCCGTGGAGGTGGACTGATGCTGCACAGTGGGTTTGTGATCTAACGGTCTCGGCCACTTTAGGCTCTTGCCTGTGCATTCACTTACGGAGAAAGAGACGGAATGCTGGTCCGGCACCGTGGAGGGAGGGACGGCGGCCGTTACAGCAGCGCAGGCGTTATCGGCGGCTGTTTGCAGAGGGCTGAAGCAGCTGCAAGACTTGCAGTGCGCCACCGGCTGCGGTTGAGTGCTTTCAACGCAGACCTCGTTGCTCAACAGGTAAGTGATGGGAGGAGGCGAGGGAGGGTCGTCGGCTGAACCAGAAGTCCACCAGCTCTTCTCCCGGACCATGGCGTTGGTGATGAAATAGGTCTGAGGGGTGACGATGAAGTAGCCTTCGCCTGTGTGGTAAATTTTGCGCTCCTTGATTAGATTGCCTAGAGCATTGTAGAGGATGTCCTGAGTTGGGATGGTTATCCCTGTGGCAAATGAAGAGAAACGAGGGTTAAGGACAAAAGACAAGCAGAGGGACACATTGTGTCTCGCCAGAAAAATGTCAAATAATTCCATTAAGAAAAAAATTGACATTAAGGAAAAGACGTTCATTCCCTTTCTGGGGAAGTTAGATAAAACGATGGATAATACTCTATACACGTCTATTCAATTCGCCTCTTCAATGTAACTGCAAATACCCTAAATGCACATTCATCAAGATATCTCACCATCCCTCTTAACAAGCAAGATGAAGCGATTACCGGAGTGGGCTTTGCTCATGTAATTGATTAGCGCTTCCTGGTTGACGGTGATTTGAGAGGAGTTCATGTCTGAGATGACGGAGCACAACACCTCGGCCAATGGAATGAACTGGGACTGGGGGACGGGGGACATCTGCACCGGGGACAGGTCACCTGAAAAACACATACACAAGCCGGCAGATGGTTGAGTGAAACAGGTGGGCCCGCTGCAGTGAACATACACAAACACACCTGGGGTCTGAGAGGTCTCTCTCTCTCCGACTTGTGCTGCATGTGAAAACAACTAAGTACTGAAGTTGCGTTCCTCTCCTAACCACCTTCTAAATCATGACCGCTGTGGTCCATTTATACGAGTTATATGAACCATGCCTGACTGCTTTGCAAATTCCATCAGGATTGGGAAAGACCACGGAATTCCATTACCCCCACAGAAACGACCACAGGTCCAACTGCCGGGGAGATCAGATATCCGGCCCCTTATATCATACGGCCCCACACGTCTAGGAGGTGCCTTTGGACAAACAAGTTACTGAGGAGGAATGGCGCACACACAGTGTCGGACAATAGTGTGGATCGTTCTGCATACGTATACTCCACATCCAAGTCCAGTGGTCCTCTGACATGCCAACGGGGCGTCCGATAAAGCCAGAAGGCCTTTTAACCATGAAAGTGAGCTGCTTTTAAAGACAACCAGATATTAGAAACATTCAATGTCAGTATCAAAAAAAACGATCAGAGTTTCACACGTGGAGAAACATAATTGAAACAACATGCAGCGGTTTACTTCATTCGAGCAAAGGTTTTGGCAGTGCGAGTGTTTTTGCAAAGTGGGTTCAGATATTACGGCCATGAAGGTTCTTCTGCAACCCGTTAACAAGATAGGACATCAAAACCGAACGGCAACTTTAAAATAGTTATATTTAAATCATTGATTACTTTGAAAGTCTCTCAGTTCCAGTAGTTATTTTCTTCAAAGGAAAGAGGAAAGTACAGGCACAGACATCTGCCTTTTTGACTAATTCCCTTCAATAACACACTACTCACAGATCACAAAGACTGAAAGCACCAAAACAAACGAGATCCCTCTGCTGATGAATGATTAGCATCTGGGTTGGCTTAACACAAACTCCCTTCATATGAGGAGGCCATGGACATTACCTTACCCACGGGACCGGAAAATTAGTTTTGGTTAATCAGCTACACCTCAAATAAGGTAAGGACCATCGTGGGTGAAATAAGGGAGATTAAACAGAAAGTCCTCACTTGTGTGTTTTACCACCAAGAGTATCTGACTTGACTTCAGAGCAAAAAACAGGCCACGCACGTGACTTGAACTCCATTACGTAGCCTGTCGGGACTGTAACTTGTTTTTGTCCCCCCCGCCCACGCAATTTCAAGTTTCTATTTGTGCTGACAACAACACCTTGTGTATAGTTGTGTGAATTAAGCTTAAGCGTGTGCAGCGTTTGACTGTGAGCGATCCTCCCATCAACCCCAGGGCATTCAACGAAAACACTGCCCAGCTCACACTTGACGTAAACTAAACATTTACAACCCTCACACTTGAACCACTTATGTCCGAGGCAAGGGAAACAAACAACTGATCAAATATCTGCCATGGTAAAGCATGACAGAACACATACCTACCAAACGCACACAGCCTTTCTTTGGTGTGGCGCACACAGTGTTTCCTGATCTGGCTCACAAGAAGCAGCCCAGTCAGAGCAGCGTAACGGGAGACCAAGTAATAATGCGGCTCGGATAAAAAGGTTGGCGTTGTAATAAACTAACTAGTAAAAGAAAATGGCAACGGTTATCAGTTATTGGTTATTTAATGTCAAGCTGAGCCTTTCACAATAAACAGACAATCACAATAAAACTAATTAGGGCTGAGGAATTTGTACCCGCACAGTTGAAAGTCCCAATAGATCGGTGCTGGAATGAGCCCCAAAACCCAGGAATGAGTTTTGCACTTGAGGTTCCCTCGTCTTGACTTTTTGCAGAAAAATGTTTTAAATACGTCAGTAAATACTGCTTTCATAACCTTTTGCGGATAGATGAGACTAAACATGGTCACACTCGTCCGCCTTCACTGCCTCGTTGTACCCGCCGATATTCATGCAGCCCAGGTGTAGTTCTTTACAACCTGCCGATTTCCATTAACACTTTAACACTAAAGTTGTGTTTATTTGTAAAGAATATCTTTCTAAACAAAACACACAGATGTCATGACCGTTTGTTTGCCGCAGAGTTTTATTTCTGCAATTATCCAAAATCCCTTTTTGTCAAAGAAACCTGTGTGATACAAAATAAATGTACTAATTAATCTGCTGCTCAACGAGTTTTACTTAATAAACACGTTTTATCCTCAAGGACTATGTCAAAAAAGCAATTATCCAAACAGTGCCGCTCGCTTAAGGCTCATAAGTCTCACAGAGAGGGGTCTGTCTTTGTAGAACTGATCCTGCGGCACCCGGTGGGACTGTAAAGAAACAGCCATCTGGTCTCCCCTCGGCCCCGGCAGAAGACGTTAATCTGACTAAACCTCGGAGCGGATATCTCTAGAATAGTAGTCTCCCTGGGCAGTGAATTAGTGCTGCTGACTTAGCGACTCATTGTTGTTAACGTCCTATAGGAATGTATGGCAGGCTGTCCACATAGCAACCGCTTATGACCACCGTCAACAGTGAGGACGTGATCAGGTGGGCAATTAATCACAGGTAAGAAATGAAGTAGTCACTACCCCTTTGAGTGACTTCAGGATATCGTTGCACGGATGAAGTTTTGGTGAAAACAGAGTGTTGTCCCCTGTGACCATGTACTGGTTCGGAGCAGGATATCCTGTCGCACATCTGCTAACATGACCTCAACAATCAACAGCATCTCCCACACATGACCTTCCTATAACTACGGGCCCGAGAGCAGGACTGACAACCGAAAAGAGAGACTGGCGATGGAGGTGTGAGATGGAGGAGGAACGAAAACTACACCTACAGCCGTGTATTTGTGTAACGCGAGGACGGGCGCGACGGAGAACGAGTGTTTATTGAGTCTAACATTAGCAGGCGTGACCGCTCGCCGCTGTAACCGTCTTCTCTCCGCGGGGAACAGACCTCTGTTTTCCCTGTAATCCGAGTCCGGGCCGGGGACATTACACTCATTGTCATACACAGCGTGAATGCCCTGCTGGGTGCCACGGCAACCAAACTGCATGCCACAGGGAAGAGGCAGGGAAGCTCAAGCAGGAGACGACCCTTAAAAGCAGATCAATATAACCACTTAAAGGGGCATTCCACCGGTGTTACATGTCACAGTCTGTCCTGCTCAGCCCGTGAAAGCTGTATCTGGTATCTTTTGTGGCTCTAGGAGACAGTAGAAGAATACACCTACAATTACTGTATATTGCGTCTACCTACTAAGTAATGCTCCCCCCCCCCCTCCTCTGGGGAACCACCATGGGAACTTATTTGGGAAAAAATGTGTATGTTAGTCAAACACAACCCATCATTTTTTTAATCAGGTTTTTCATGTAAAAATGTGTCTTTCATAAAGCTGTTGCAGTAGAAGATTCGCCTCTCTGATTAGCTTTGCTAAGTCAACAACACGACAATTAAACCAGTTGCTTTCCAAGCATATTTTAACCACAGTGAAATGCCTGGCATTATGCGATCTGTAGTTCATTGAGTTTAACCCACACAGACTAAAAGCCATGATTGATCAGGCTCTGCTGCACAGATTGTTCCTTGCGTCCCCCCAAATGTTAGAAAAACACAATACTAAACTGCTGGAGTGAAGTCATTCCTTGAGACCCACCATCAGAGGCATTAATCTCAGAGACGCCAACAGTTTAGGGAAAGGATTTTTTTGTTGCTTGATTCGAATCATCATATGAATGAGCATTGTTGTTTCTTATCACACATGTCATCCCTAGAAATCCTAAATTAAATCCAAAGTATCTCAGTGAGAGCCAATGGCCTTGTACATGTTTTACATGCCATTGTTGATTAAACAAGAGCATTGCACTTCTTTATAAGAAGATACAATGCCTGACGTTGATTGCTCAGATTGTGGTGATGATTGACAGAGACCTTCTCTCTTCGATCCCCACTGAGATCCCTTTGGCCGCTGACACTGATCAATGCCACATGTGTTCACATGGCTTCGTTGTTAGCCAGCCACATGAGTCCCATTTCATACGTGATTGCATTACCTCCAGTCTCTTGGAAGAATATTCTAACACACCATACAGAACATACTGTGGGCCTTCCATGAGCTGCAGTGAGAAGATCAGATCGTTCCTTGCGTTTACAAATGGTGACAGACTTAGACTTTAATCATGCCTTGGTAGAAGACCGGGTGAAAAAGCAAGAAAAGAAAGGAGGTTGCACAACTTGTGACTGAATCGTATCTCTGACCTTTTAACTTCATGTTATCACAGTTCAAATCTAACTGAAAGATTGGACTTCCCACAATCCCCCGCTGCATGGCCTTTCCTGAAACACAGACTCACAGACAAGCACCATCTTATCTCATCCTGGCGTGGTTCAATCTTAAAGCCCCAGTAAGCAAACACGCTAATCTTCTCTCTCCCTCATTAAAGACACACTGCATTGCATTCAACATGAACTTGAGGTCCGCCCCAAACTGCAAAATACCCCCCGTATCCCATCGACTGAGACCCTGCGAGGAACACGCTTCAGTGAAGTTACAGTAAAGTCATTGGTGAGACAATGTCAAACATTCATAAGGTCAGATTTAGCGTAATGGGAAGAGATGGCATCTGTACTTTATGTTGCCTCCCAGTCCCACGACCACTTTGCTTTGTTTCGGGGTTTCTTGGTCTAACAGGCCTCCTTGACTCCTCCCCCTTCTCGCGTGTGTGTGTGTGTGTGCGTGTGTGTGTGTGTGCGTGCATCACACTTTTTAAAAGTGCTTTACGAGTTTGTGTCTCTCCCCCTCCCATAGAAGACACAGAAGTGGCCGTGGCAGTTAAACGGCCCAATAAACTGAGTGAAAAGATCCCTTCAGAGAGAAATCACAGGCCGAAAATCCCAACAAGCAAACCTCGCCCAGTCTAACAACGCTGCCCTTTCCTGCCCGTCCCCCTGAACACACTTTGACACACTTGGCAAAAAATGTTTGCACCAAAAATA